TGAAGCACAGTGCAGCAGAGTTTGAAAAGTCCTTGTTGGTGCGGGTGAGGAGAAGAAGTTCATCCGTTTTGTTAGGAAGGGAACGGACATTCGCGAGATGAATGCTTGGGAGCGCAGTCCGAAAGCCGCGTGCGCGGAGCTTCACCAGGGCGCCGGCGCGTTTCCCTCTTCTGCGTCTGCACGCGCGTTTGAACAACACCGCTGTACCTCCGACTAGAATGTCCAACAAAACGTCCGAATAATCAAAAACCGGAAAAATGTTGTCCGGGATGTGCTGCTTAATGTTAAGGAGTTCGTCTCTGGTAAAACTTACAGAAGAAGAATGACAAAACACAGAACAAACAAACAAAAACAATAGAAGAATTGCGGAGCTCAGCGTCCTTGCTGCCATTTACGGCGCCATGCTGATAGACCTAACAACATGTATACAATAATACTTTTTGTATACATTTTAATTAATTTGTTTAACAGTTCTATCTGATTATTAGACAGACTTCTATCCGTATTAGACAGAACTGTTAACGACGACGGCGAACAAGAGGGAGATTGTGAGCACTGTGTGTTCAGGCACTGCCGTTCTCAACACCGTCAAAATAAAAGTCCCACCACGAACGCATCGGCCAAACAGAAAAACTTATCGGCCGATGCCGATATTTGAAAAATGGCAAATATTGTCCGATATATCGGCCTTGGCGATAAATCGGTCGACCACTACTGAAAACTAGGACTGCACGATAAATCGCATGCGATATTTAACGCGCATCTAGTCAGTAAAGCAGGTTCTTTAATCAGCGGTAAATCTCCATCACCTGAAGGCTTTGCGCGTTAAATATTGCATGCGATTTATCATGCAGCCCTACTGAAAACCTAAACAACTGATAAGCTAAAGAAATCTTAATAATAATCATACCGAATTATAGTAATTCATTTGAATATCCATTATATACCAAATAAAAGATGGATTAGTTGCATACATATGAAATAAAAATGTGCACCACACACACGTCATTAAATTGATCAAAAGTGACAGTAAAGACAGTTATAATGTGACAAAAGATTTCAAATAAATGCTGTTCTTTTGAACTTTCTACTCAACACTGAATATTATGTAGCACAACTGGTTTTCAACACTGATAATAATAAGAAAATTTACTTAAGGACTCAAATCATCATATTAAAATTTCTGCAGGATCATGTGACACTTGACACACTGGAGTAATGACTGTTGAAAATGACAGGAATAAATTATTATTAAATTTTAAAATATATTAAAATATAAAAGTTACTTCAAATTGTAATAATATTTCACAATCGGTGTTGGGGAAAGTTACTTTTAAAAGTAATGCATTACAATATTGCGTTACTCCATAAAAAAGTAACTAATTACGTTACTTAGTTACTTTTTATGAGAAGTAATGCGTTACGTTACTTTTTAAATCTGGACTGGGCTTCCTTGTTTGTTTTTAAAATTAAAAAAGTTCTATTTTTGGCAAATATAAAAGCCTTTTAGCTGTCAGTCAATAAATTGGAAAAAAAGTAACTTGCATTACTTGTTTGAAAAAGTAGCTCAGATATTCTCTTGTAAATTAAAAAGTAATGTGTTACTTTACTAGTTACTTGAAAAAAGTAATCTGATTACGTAACTCGCGTTACTTGTATTGCGTTACCCCCAACACTGTTCACAATATTACTGTTCAAATAAATGCAGCCTCAGTGAACATGAGACATAACGTTCAAAAACATTAATATATATCTAAATAGGGCAACTAAATAGGTGATCTTTCTCAACCACTCAGCTCCATGACTCACAGCACGCTCACAGCATTTCCATTCTATAATTTTCCCTTGAGAAATCTCTGATGAGGTCTAACTGACCCCAAGTAGTCTGACAAGTCACTCTAAGACATCTGCTCTAATGAAGACATTCAATTCCTCTTTAAGCACTGGTTCTCCTCTCCATCAATGAATGAGGTTCATCCATGACAAGAATAAGTAACAAAGTCAGAAGAAGAAGATAATATAATAATGAAATAATGTTTAAACCTGGGAAAATTTTGAGCTTCAACAACAATGGAATGGAGCCACATAAAATAACCACTTGGAGCGCACAGACTGTGTTGCTTCTTCATAAAACTTTCAGCGTCCTAGAGCTAAAAGCAGCCACTACAACACACCTTCTCTTCACACACGACTGCATGTTCATCCCAGCATGGGTTTCCCCACACAACATTCTTCTCTTTCGCAGCAACCTGACGTTATGTACAGCTATAGCCAAGAGTTCTGGGGAGATCCCTGTGCTGGAGTCTATCAAACATTAAAGGAATCCTTGAGCGTGTAGTGGGCTTGAGACCAGGTCTGTCCAGTCAGGCAGAAAAACACCTTCCCCTGTGCTAGCTGGTGGGTGTGCAAATGGAAAATCCTGAAGTTAGAAAGGAACCTATTATCACAGATTATGCAAGCAGAAACACACCATTAGCTGCTATAAAATTCCATATATTAAGCCTTTTTTCTTAATTTCCATTAGGGCTGCGTCTACAATATTGACGAATCGATTTTTTTTTTTCAGCCTTCATTTTGATGAACCAATATCAATTTTCTAAATTCCAAAAATGATCTTTTTGTCTGAGCTGTTGCCTGTGGATCCATGAAAAAATGTGTCCACCATCCAATAATCACAAAAAACGTTGTGCTTTGCTACTTTTGAAAGGAAACAAAGTCTCAGCTTTCGCATTGTTATTTTGAACACAAACTACAATGAAATATCACAACATTTGAGTTTCCGCCAAAATCAGTATTGTATCTGGTCGGTATTGAAAAGTCCATTTTGAATTTTACGCAAAATGCGTCATGTTTTCTCCCTTTCCAAACCGCGACAAACGCCAGACTCCCTTCTCTGCAGAATGCGATATATCCGCTCAACCAATCACAGCACACCATTCCACGCACTCTAGACAGTAATGGACAGCTTTGAATAGGCCTACACCTGGCATCCTAGTTTTCCTCATCTACTTTGTACTTTGTGATCAACAAACAAACTTAGGGCTGCACGATAAATCGCATGTGATTGTCATGCGCATCTCGTCAGTAAAGCCAGTTCTGTGATTAATAGTAAATTTCCATCACGTGCTTTCAGATGGATACACCGAGCCATAGATCACTGACAAGCTATGCAATATCGCGTTCATAATCGCATATGAATCGCATTCGATTATGAACGAGATATTGCGTAGCTTGTCAGTGTAAGTGTTTTTATTAATGCCATTTATGTTTTTGTTAATACAGCGTATAGGCTATAGCACTAGTCAACAAAGCACAATTGAACTTAAGCACAGTTGTGCTCACTGGACTAAAAACTGGACTATTTTTAGCCTGTATATAAGATTACTGACCAAGTTCAGAGGCTGTCATATGTGGATTACCATGTTGTGT